AAACCAGGCCAACGTGCTCCTGGAAACCAATCCAAAAGGGAAGGCTCCAGGGGGCCGCGTTTGCAAACGCTCCTCTCTTCTATATTTCTTTTCTTTTCTTTTTATTCTTTGTATGTTATTCTCCAATAAACCTTTGTTTTGTTAACCAGACTTGTCTTCGTATTGTGAGTATCAAAATTTGGGCTTTTTACATCTCACAATCTTGGTGGAAGATGCGGGCAATTAGAGTCTCTAGGGGACACTGTTCTCAGTAAAATCAGGAGCGCGCCTGTTGATTTCAACTGCCTGGAGTTATCTGAGATCTAGTTTCCCCTTGCAGGCTCCGAGCCAAAACTAAATTGACAACTCTGGTTTACAAAAATCAAAGAACAGGAAAAAGGAAGAAGTCAGCAACTGAAGCCCGGACCAGGTAACCCAAGTGCACTGGCCCAGGTAAGACACTTTTGCCCCAAAAACGGGAACCGTGCAATTGTACCTGGGTGGTCAGGAGAGCGATTGTGGGAGGTTTCTGCGATAACGGCTGTGTGAGTGTGATGGGCTGTGTTCTGGGAACACTGGTAAGTCCAGAGCGAGTGCGGACCTGAATGTTGAGGTCCCTTACTCCCGCGAGGGGGAAGGCCAGCCTGAAGGGAAGCGAACTGGTGTTAAGAGTTTTGAGTGGCCGTCAAATCGAGGACCTCAGGGAACCATAGTCAGGGAAACTCTCAATAAGATGGGCAGTTGTTGTAGTCGTGGTTGTAAACCCAAAGAAAGGGAAATAAGTGTAAAATTAACTAATAGGGAAATAGAAATACCTTCTGATAGTCCGTTAGGACAATTGTTAAGCCAGTGGGATGATGAGAATTTAGAAGCGTGGACATGTAAGATAACAAAAAGCAGAATGATAATGTTGTGCTTAAAGAAATGGCCTCATTACGTAATTAGTCCGCCGGATTATCATTGGGACCGGTTGGGAGAGCCAAATAAATATTGGATAGGAAAATTAGAACAATATATTCGTAAAAGACCTACCCTAAGCAGTGAAATACCGTATGTAAAGCCATGGTATTTTGTGAATTGGGAAGGACCAATTCCACCAGAGGAAGATAGGATTTTTAAATTGAAGGAGGAGAGAAAGGGATGGAATCCTTTAGAATGTCTCCCTCCTCCTTATACTCCCCCTCCACAAGTAATACCAAATGCTCCAGTCTTAGAAGATGATCAAGGAGCAGTAGGGGGAGCCGAAGAACCACCTATAGCTGAAAGAACTCGAGGAAGAGAAAGGGAAAGAGAGAGAGAGAGAGAGAGAGAGAAGATGAAAAAGAGGAAAGGTTATATCCTTTGCGACAAGTCCCTCAAGGCATAAATACAGATGGGCAACCAGTGATGGGCTATGTAGCAGTAAACATCACAGCTACTGAACTGAGGGAATTTAAACAAAGAATGAAAAAAGTTCAAGAGGAACCCCAAGCAGTAGCTGAGGAATTCGCTGCCTTTTTGGGGCCCAATACATACACTTGGGATGAACTCCAGTACTCTCTGGGTTTTCTATTCACCCCAGAAGAGAGGGATCTAATTCAGAAAGCTGCCATGAAATATTGGAAGGATCATCATCCAGATGTCATGTGTCTGAGTAACGAAACACTTAAAAGGACTTTCAGGCATGTTTTCTCCTAAAAGCATTTATTAATGTTAAAGCCACATCAGCACAGCATGGGGGAATGCTTAGGACTGGTTCCTTTCTGCTATGCATGTAATTCCAAACATTTCCCTCCCACCCTTTTTTGGGGTCATGGTTCACATCTTCCAATCAACTTGGAAGATGTGATTTACATCCGGCAAATGATCCAGTTCCTGAGGTAAAGTTTCCATTGGAAAGACCGGACTGGGATAATAACGATCCTGTCCATAGGCAGCAAATGGATGATTTAAAACACATAATTATAGAAGGCATTCGAAACTGTGTGCCCCAAAGCAAAAATATCAGTAAGGCCTTTAATGTAAGACAGAAAAAGGAAGAATCTCCAGGGGAATATNATATTTAGAGAGACTTAGAGAGCAGATGAGAAGATACGGAGGGATGAAGGAAGAAAGTGAAAGTTTTAGACAGTTATTAAAGAGTCAGTTCGTGATAGGAGCATATGGAGATATACAAAGAAAGATACAGAAAACTGATGGATGGGGAGAAAAGAGTATAATGGATTTATTAGCAGAGGCGCAGAAGGTGTTTGTGAATCGCGATTTGCAAGAAAGAAGAGAGGATAAGAAATTGTTATTGTCAGCAGTAGGAGAAATGATGGATAGAAAGTTAGATCAGAAAGGACAGAGAAGAGATATTGGGAAAGAAGGGCAATGGAAAGGGAGAGGAAGAGGAAAAGGCAGGGGAGTGATGAGACAAGGCAGCAGGAACCAGTGTTTTAATTGTGGGAAGGAAGGGCATTTCGCAAGGAATTGTCCACAGCTAGCAAGAGAAAGGGAGAGGGAGCAGAAAGTGTATAGGCTAATAGATGAAGATCAAGAATAGGGGAGTCAGGGGCCCTTGATATTAAGGTTCCACCAAGAGCCCTTGATAAACATTCAAGTGGGACCCGAAAAACAGGAATTAGTGTTTCTAATAGACACTGGAGCTTCTAGGACATCTCTAATAAATATACCCCAAGGCTGCCATTTAATAAATAGTACAATAAGAATTTCAGGGGTAGCCGGACAATCTGTTGAAGTCCCTCAAATAGAAGAAACAACTCTGAAATGGAAAAACTATGAAGCTAAGATCCAACCATTATACGTCCCAGCAGCTGGAGTAAATTTGCTAGGGAGGGACATACTCCAACACTGGGGGCGGGGAATACAAATACTCAGGGAACAGATGTTAATATTAACTGAACGGAATAAGAAAGAAATAACTCCGATAGTTTGGGCCACGAAAGGAAACCGGGGAAGATTGCAAGTAACCCCTATAAAGATTACGGTACTCTCAAAAACACGGAGCCCATAAGGCAGAAGCAATATGAGATTAGTTTAGAAGGTAGAAGAGGGTTAAAACCAGTGATAGAAGAATTAATACAGGATGGATTGTTGGAGCCAGCCATGTCCCCATATAATTCTCCTATCTTAGCGGTTCAAAAACCTGATGGGAATTTTCGCTTAGTAGCTGATTTGAGAAAAGTCAATCAAATAATTGTATCTTGACATCCTGTGGTTGCCAATCCCTACACATTATTGAGTAAAATTCCACCAGAGCATCAATTGTTTAGTGTAATTGACTTAAAGGATGCTTTTTGGGCTTGTCCACTCGATCCTGAATCCAGGGATGTGTTTGCATTCGAGTGGGAAGACCCGGACACAGGAAGAAAAAGTCAGTTCAGATGGACAGTATTGCCCTAAGGGTATACTGAAAGTCCTAACTTATTTGGTCAGATCTTAGAACAAGTCCTGCCTGGAGAAATTTGAAAAAGATCCAAAATTATTTTTGATACAATATGTGGATGATTTGTTACTCTCAGGGGAAAAGAAACAGGATGTAGAGAAAGGAACAAATGATTTGCTGAATTATTTAGCATCTCAAGGACTGAGA